GAAAACGTGATCTGTGCCCTCCCGGGGCTCATACACAAGTTAGAGAGCACTGAAAACAGGTGACAGACAGCTAAGTCCTGAGCAGTTCCCAGGGGAGGCCCTCCCTGGGTGGGGATCAAGTCCTCAGGAAGACCCAGAGGAAGGCTTCAGTCTGCGGTCTGGAAAGAGAAGGGGTTGGAGACAAGGAAGAAGGCAGGCCGTGGGCCCCAGAATGGGCAGACTCTGCATGTGGGCCGAGCGGGAGGAGCTTGACACTGACCTGATTGATGCATGCCCAGTGACACGTGGGTCTGCCATCGGCAAGGCTCCTCTTTCCGCAGAGGGCATGCCTGTGCTCGCCCTCCCTCAACAGTTAGCTACATGATCTCTCACATGAGTCTCCTTCAAGATGCTCTAAAACACTGCAGGTTACAAGCCTAGTGTTCCCCTGTAAGGATTTATTTCGGCTGACTTCCGGTGAGGTCTTCTCCACTGTCTCTGTGGAGGAATGGTTGTGTATGCATCTTTGTAAATCGTGCAGCCTTTTGCCCCATCACTTTATGTGATGTGCAGCCAGACTCGCTCTATAATCAGATGATGGGATGGCAGGCTTTGCTGTATAATTTTTGAGCCACAGTGAATGGTTCCAGTTACTTAGGGAGTCCACTAAACTTCAGATTCCATTTTTACGATCCATAAATAAATTAATGGCTTTTATAGCGATCTCTTCATGATGGCCGGACATCTGCTCACAGGTGTCATATAGAGTGGTGCTGCTAGCAGCCATCTTGTTTCTGTTTCCCAGAGCTCTTAGCATCTGGCCCTTCACACATATGCGCATTCTTAGATGAGGGTACGGTGCTGGAGGGCTGCCTTGTTCACACATTAATGGAGGCCTTCCTCTGCCAGGCCCCGTTCGGGGTGTTGCAGCTGATCATGGAGGCCCTGCCCTCCCAAAGCTTGCATGCCCACGGTGAGAAGGGTGTCTCAGATGAATAAATAGGTGCACAATGCAGACTCGGCCAGTGACTCACGGCTGAGGCTGTAGCAGGCGATGCTGTGGGAACAGACAGGAGAGGTACAGGAGCGATTGCCCCTGCGTAGGTCAAGGCAGCGGAGGAAATACCGTCTTTCGAAGAGCATCTCGGGGACTTGATGTTCACATGAGGTGGGCTGACCACAGTCAGGAAAGTGCAAATCTAAACAGGCTTTCCAGAAAGGTGGGGGTGTGGGCCAGGCCACATTCTCAGATTGGGGTGGGTGGCCACTCCAGGTTCAAGGTAGTTTTTGGACACTAAAAGTGAGTGGATGTGGAGCTGGGTGCTGGTAGCACATGCCTTTAATCCCAGCACTCGGGAGGCAGAGACAGGTGGATTTCTGTGAGTTCGAGGCCAGCCTGGTCTACCGAGTGAGTTCCAGGATAGGCTCCAAAGCTACACAGAGAAACCCTGTCTCGAAAAACCAGGAAAAAAAAAAAAATGAATGGAAGTGTATGTGTGTGTATTCCCAGAAAAAGAAAAAAAGAATGGAAGTGTATGTGTGTATTCCTGTGCTAATGTTTCCCTTCACTCCCGTCCTTTTGCAGCTGGGCAGTGATGAGAAAGTTCTAGAGAGCTGCTTGAGTCTGGGTGGCCACCGGGCCCCTGTGGTCACAGTGGACTGGAGTACTGCCATGGACTGTGGGACGTGCCTCACAGCCTCCATGGATGGCAAGATCAAGCTGACGACCCTCCTAGCCCACAAGCTCTGATGCCCTGCCTGGAGCGACACACCGGAGACAGGATTGTCCCCGGTGGGAGAGAGTGAGACAGAACGCCACGGTGCTTCTGGCTCCGCACTGTCAGCGCTGTGGATCTTCAGGGAAAGACTGCCGAGGGGCCCGGCCATCCGGCTGCTGGCGGAGGAGTCTACGGAGCAGGCTGCGTGTGCTTCCTAGAGACTTGAACGGTGCCTGGAGCGGGGCACGCTCCAGAGCACAGGATGAACGATGAGGAGGGAGCCATAGTGGTGCCCGCCATGCTCGTGGTCCAAGAGGAACTGACAGTATTTTGTACATAAACTGCTTCTTTTCTTTCTTTCTTTCTTTTTAAAGGAAAAAAATGAGAGAGAGAGAGAGATAATGTTCTTGCAGTCACTTGGTGTCTCTTTCTAGAATGTCTGAGTCACCTGGGCCTGGTGATAGCCATGGCTTCCTGCCTTGGTTCTTGTACCTCAGCTCTCACCCGCCTCTGCTGCCATGTTGCTGACAGAACCACATTAGGTTCCCTGTGGCTTTGTCAGAGTTGAGATGTGGACTACAATACCATCTTCTGGGCTCAGGCCGAGATCAGTGTGTCTTCTGCTGAACTGGAAAGCTGTTGCCTTTGGTTAAGAGGGTTCTTTAGACAAGAGCGGGGCCTGAGGTCTGGGCCTCCAGCTCCCTCTCCCTCAGGGTCTTCTGGTCCCACACTCATGTGGTGGCTCTCTCATTCATCCAGCTTGAGGTCTCTGAGCTTGAATAATACCAGCCACCTGCACCCTCTGCCTGGTTTCACCAAGCCTGGACCAGCTCTATCTGTACGCCTGCGCTCTGTCCCCTCATTTGGGAGGACCGTGAAGAGGCAGGTTCCTGCAGAGTGTGGAGGAACAAAAGTCCCCTCTGTAGTCAGTCCTGCATCCTTCTGCTGAGGCCAGCCTCGCGAAGGAGCCACTGGAGGGTCAGTAAGCCCGGGCCTGGGACTCCCACATGTGGCAGGGGTGACCTTGTTACCTACCTAGGGAATGCCAGTTCCATGAACAGTGACTGTTTGGAACAGTCATTCGTTAGCTTTGGGCTCCAGGCTAGTCGTGGGCTGTGAGGCAGAGTGGGGTAACTCCCAGGTGCCTCCACTGGGAAAAGCAGCAGGTATGCTGTGGCCTTGGCTCCCTACTGGGGCTGAAGGAAGAGTAGAAAGCGATATATAGAAAGACCAGAGTAGTGGTTATCTATTTATTATTGGTGTGTGTGTGTGTGGGGGGGGGGCGTGTGCCACAGCAGAGGTCAGAAGACGACTTGGTAGACACGATTCTCCATCCACCTTTATGTGGGTTTAGGGGGATCAAACTCAGGTGGCCAGGCTGCATGGCCAGGGGCTTTACCTGCTGAGCTAGCTCACAGTTATCTCTTCTTACCCATCTTCACACTGTCATGAATAGATTGATTCTGTCCGGGCTATTTCTCCATTTGGGCTCGGAGACAGCCTCATCTATTTCACCTAGATTCACGGTCCTGGGTTTCATTTGAGTCAAGAGCCCATGTCTAACTTTTCCTCCCAAAGTTTCTGTCTTAGGATATGTTCTCTCCTCTCGGCATCCCCCACAGCTTGCTGAAGCGATTTTAAGGCTCAGAGACAGAGAAACACCCCCAAATCTGTCCTGCCCTGCCCTACCCCTCCCAGGAAGAGCACTCATTCTCAACGCATTTGGAACGTACCTTTTCCTTCAAAGCACCTTTTTTTGGAATCCTTAGGAGCCTTAGTAAGTAAGGCTCCCTCCTCTGCTGTCTTGGGTGGAGGCGGCGTGAAGCAACAACCACGGAGGCAGGCTACACCACAGACTCTGAGCCACTTTTCCAGGGCTTGAGAACCTGGCCCGCCAGGTGCAAATCCATATTTCCCATCCATGTGCTCAGGGACCCATCTCTGCTCAGCCCCAAGCCCAGCCCCCTTGGTGTTCAAATGCCCAGGAGCTCGGCACGAGGTCTGGAAGTACAGTAATAAATACATTGCAGGCTGACTAAATGAAGCTAACTCACATTTGTTACTATATCCAATAACCACGTACAGTTTATCTTTCATTTTAAAAATAATAAAAACTCATGTTGACTCCAGCACAGGCACATCTAGCTTGGTTCCTTGCTCTTCCCTGCAGCAGGCTCTGTGTGCAGACACACAGGTTCCTGATCGTAAGCCTTATTTGCTAGGTGGCCACGGAGAAGTTTGAAGAAATGTGCAGGCTTGGGGCGTTATGCTAAGGATCAACGGAAACATGCCCTTCCACCCAGCCCGTTAGACTTGGTGGCCACACATCCGGTGAGGTTGAGGACTCTACAGAGGCAGGCGGATCTCTGTGAGTTCCAGGCCAGCCTGTGAGTTCCAGGAAAGGCGCAAAGCTACACAGAGAAACCCTGTCTCGAAAAACCGGGAAAAAAAAAAAAAAAAAAAAGGTATTTTCAAGACAGCCAGGTGCTGTCCTCCCAGAAAGGCTGGAGTCTAGCCCCGTTCAAGAGCAGCTAAGTCGGCCTTAGGAGCTCTCCGGGGGGATTGGAAGTCATTGGTTTATGCCATCTAAGAGACCTTAGATTTCCTGACGGGGCTGTTGGTTTAGCATTGAAGATTAGCATTCTAGAAGGCCCTGGAGAAAACAAAGGCTCCACAGGGGCGCCGTGGGTGCCCCAATCCAGAAATTGTAGTTCTAGCACCGGACAGAAACTGCTTTGTGATTAGCCAATCTGCTGTAAATCCAATATAGTTAATCTTGATTTCTCCGTTTGGGGAGACAATCAGATCTGAGCTTCCGTTTACTTGAGCGTGCCAGGGAAGGCCCTCCCCTGTGACGTTGTCCCCAGGGCTCCTCTCCTGGTCACCTCAGGCTGCCCTAAATCATGAGTGAGTTTAGCTGAAAGCCCCCGGGGAAACCTGGGCAGCTTGGTGGCGCCTCCCGCCCTTCTGCAGGGGGCACCCTGGGCCGCCAACCTGAATGTTAAACATCAGTAAACGGGAGTTTGATCTCTCTGAACTGCCAGGCACCTCGTCCCCTGTCTCCTGGCACGTGGTGAACTTGGTTTCCTCTTGGGGATCCGGGGTCAGGACCGTCAGAAACAGAAGCCCTTTCCTTCCCCTAGTCCCCATCTCCGGGCACTTTGACTTTCTAATAGCCAGCAGTGGACAGACCCCGGGGCCTGTGCATGTGGCTTGCGGTCTGCAGGGGGCACCCGGGGACCTCCGCGCCAGCCAGCGGCCGGGTCGGGAGCGCGCGGGGCCGGGAGCGCGCAGGGGCCGGAAGGGGCGGGCGGTGGGATGCGTGAGGGCTCCGTATATCTGAATCCCGTCCCGGAACCGGCCGAGAGCACTGCTGTGCCGCCCGGCCCTGTTAGTCGCCTGTCCGGTCCTGTCCCCGGGTCCCCGCTCTGCGCCCTCTGCGGGTGGGAGGGAGTGGCGTGGCCAGCTCCCGGCCAGTGCACCAGGCCCCGCGTGCGTTTTCTGGGTGAGATTTTTGCAGGGACTCCCGGGCCCGGCCCCAACAGCACTGAGCTCCAGAAACCTTGCGGTGTGTGGGAGCTGGCTGCCGGCTCGGTGGTTGACGCCCGGCTTTCTGCGACTCTATGCATGTTAACTGTAAATTGCGTCTGTTTCTTGTCTGTAAAATGGACGCGAAGATACACGTACTGCCGCGTCTGATACATTTCTGTATATTGTCACCGGCTGGTGTTCCTCTTATCAACTCCTGTAGCTGGACAAATTAGGATGATGCCCTGCTAGTTTTTTTTTTTTTTTTTTTTTTTTTTTTAATGGAGTTGTAAACAGTTTTTTTGGATGAACTAAAATTATCAAATGGTATATTTTGGCCGAGGGGATGGGGCACTGGCTAATGAAATCTGTGACTCAGAAGGACTCTGGGTTCTAGTAACCAAATCACTGCAGAAGTCTGTCGTCACAGACGATTGTTTGGGGTGCAAAGGAAAGGGAGACCAGAGTTTCCTTCCTTCCTTCCTCCTAGGGTGCAGAGGTGACAGGAAAGCATTTCTCGTCGCACCGTCTGCCTGTGAGGGTCACAGAGCAATGGAGAGGTCACAGAACTTGTTTGCAGGCTCCATAGTCCTGCCTGCTGCTGTTCCTCCACCTGACACAATACAGACGACTCTGCCGTCTGAGCTCTGCTCACCCCTAGCCTGCCCCACTCTGACCAGTAATTGTCGCTGGTAGCTGACAGAGCTTTGACTTAGTAGAATATACTGACTCGCCCCCCACCCCCCTTGTAGGTATCAAAGATCGGCGACCACTGGGGACAGTTAAACCTGGTGTGACAAGAGAATGTGACTTTTGGTGCTGCACCAGAGAAGCAGGTCACTGAGTGTGGGAAACTATGGCCATGGAAACCCTAGCATCTGAGAACAAGAAAAGGGTCCTTCCCTCATGGATGACAGCCCCTGTGGATGAGAGGAGGGTGTTGCCAGCAAGGACACCCAAAAGGAAGAGGACGGCGGCTGAGCAAGTTGGGGCGGCAGCGAGGTGGGGAAACCCGGGGTCAGGCTGCTTCTCAGTGGGTGTCCTGGCCTGGCCTGTGGGCAGGGCCGTGAGGTGGGGGCATCCTTCCAGCAGTGTCTGAGGTCTCAGCCCACAGAGGAGCACCACCGAGTCTCTGGGCTGGTGGGGTCCTGCGGTCTGTACAAGCCATGCCCGAGGAGCCGGTTGTCCGAAGTGCTAGTCTAGTCCCTTCATTTGTGACAGAACTTCTAAGAAGGCGACATGAGTGGATCTGAACTCTGGTCGCCTGAGTGGGGTCTGCATTTCCTGTGGACAGTCAAGAAATCAGAAGTTGTGGGTGTGAGTTAGGTGGATGTGGGTGAGGGGGGTGGGTGGGAGAGTTTTAGGTCGCCGTTAGTTATCACACGGGAGGGGAGAGCCCTGCCACTGTCTCAGAAGGGGCGCTAGGCTTCCAGCTGCCTCTTCCTGGCCACCCACACCCTTTGTCCGAATGTATTCTCACCTTCAGGTACAGACTGGGCCTGATGGCTGCATTTGCTGGGTCCATTGTTTGTTTGATTTTGAGACAGGGTCTATGTAGCCTTGGCTAGCCTGGAACTCGCTCTGTAGACCAGGCTGGCCTTGAACTCACAGAGATCCACCTGCCTCTGCCTCCCAAGTGCTGGGATTAGTGTGTGCCACAAGTCCTGGCTGTCCACTGTGTGTTTCGAGGAGTGACCATCATCCCGTTCCCAGGTCCTTGTGAGGGAGTCCATGGAGGGTGGGTAGCCCTGTGCTCTGTCCCTGGGCCACCAGGAAGAGGAAATTCTCCAGGGAAACATTATCTCCCCTCCTTCCCCCTGCCCATGGAGGACGCTTCTATTTCCTTCCTCCTGTGAGTGCCTCTGTCCTCAGCTGTGGCTTTGTTCTTTATTTCAGGACCCCGGCCACCAAGACTGTGTACTGTATGAATGAAGCCGAAATGGTAGATGTGGCTCTGGAGATCCTGATTGAGGTACCGTCAACCCTGTGTCCTCTGGACTAGAGACTGTTCATGGGTTGAAGCTAGCATAGGTCCTGGTAACAGGTGCTCTTAGGCTGCCTCGGGACCCCACCTCTTCCTCTTGCTGGCTCTTCTCAGCCGTGCTCACCCTCAGCTACTTCCTGTGTGTGGTGTGGATCATGTGCGGGCAGGGTGTGGGTAACCCCTGGCACACGGGGTGTTCACCTGTGCTCTTGGGGAGGGAGGGTGCCAGTTGAGTGAGAGGGCTCCTTCCCAGCTCTCCTCTCAGCAGAAGGCTGTGGAAGTCTCCCCCTGGCTTCCCGAAGGAGCGAGAGCGGCACTGTGTGAAGTCGCAGGGTTCTTGTTTTCCACATGCTTTACAGCAGTGGTGCATCATGGTAACCCAGGGCTGCAGTGATCCGGGATACTGCTGTCCCAAGAAACCGGAGCTGTGCCGCCAGCCAGCTAGCGGTAGTTCGGCCACAGGGGGCTTTGTGGCTGGGCTCCTGGTGTTCTCTTGCCTCTCCAGACTTGTTTTTCAGTTGGATCCTGTTCCTGTCTACTCAGCTCATTCCTAGGCCTGCATCTTTCCCCGGGGGGTCCTGAGCGTGAGGTGTGGGGAGCAGTGGGGGGAAGGAAGGGTGGGTGCCCGCGAGGCGGGAGCGCGGCCTGGCCTGGTCCTGTGCTGCCCAGGCTTTATGGTTGACTCAGTTTGTCCACACCCCTGTCAGACAGACGTGGTCAGGGAGACAAGCTGTTGTGTTGAGCCTGCCCGTTCTTACTCTGCAGGGCCGCAAACAGGAAAAGCCGTCTCTGGTGGCCACTGATAAGCTGCAGCTCTCCCCTCCCTGCTCCGCGTCTCCTCACCCCAGTTCCCCTGGGAGCAGCAGCGAGGACGAGGGCAGTGGGAACAGCTCGCCCGCTCTAGGCCTCAGCCCTTCCCAGGGGCCAGAAGCCGCCAACTCTGCCTGCAGCAGGAGCCCCGAGGAGGAGAAGGAGGAGGAAGATGTGTTAAAGTATGTCAGGGAGATATTTTTCAGTTGACACGGACTGTTCACTGGACTTGATGCCAAGAGCAGTGGGGTCTGCTGAGAACTGCGGACACTACCCACCCCTGGCACCCTCGAAAACCAGGCTTTGCTCCCAACGTCCAGTCCCGGGGGGCTTTCATTTTGGAGCGCCTTTCTGAATGGGGGGAGGTATTGCAGGCTTAGTGTCATCCTGCACTGCCCTCTGGCTCAGAGGGTCTGGCATCCCAGCCCTGTGTTTTATTCAAGTACCAGCAAAAATGAGGTCATGGGCGTCATGGAAGCAAAGAAAAATGTAGCTGCTGAGAACACTGGGATTCCAGCTAGGCAGCCAGATCTCGCCCTGAGGAGGAGGCCTATGAACAGTCTCCATCATGACCCAGTCCAGCAGTCGGCTTCCACCCCTCTAACGGAAAAGGCTGGCAGCTGCCCACAGTTTCCTGCCAGGCTAGCAGCAGGGGGCCCTCTCCACCTGTCACCTCTCTCCCACCTGGGTCCTCCACCTTGGTCACTGTCCAGCTCTAAGGGAGAGTGGGACAGAAAACACTGAGGACAAAAGTTCACACCAGAGTCCGTGTTTCTTTATTCATTGTGGCTTTTCAAGAGCATAGAAGGAAAAACTCGTTGCCATGTAGGTTTTGTGCAATACAGACATTGAGAAATATATAATGACGCCCCAATGTGTAATATAATGATGCCCCAGTGCATAATAAGGACCATGTTTCTGCCCTTTCCAGTTCTGGGCAAGGTGAGGGGATGCAGTGTGTGTTTGTGCGCGACTATGAAGTCCTGTTCACCTTCAAGGCTTTGGCACATCTTGATCTGCATTCCTGGGTCACAAGAATGATTTGACAGTGTGGTGTCAGGTCCAAGAGCCCATTCGGGGACCCCACAAAGCCAGCAAGGCTTCTCTGTGCCCTGTGTTTCTTAGCTGAGTCTTTGTGAGGTTATTCCTGGACCCCCAGGGCTAGAGTTCTGGTGTGGGGCTCATCACACTGGAGGAACAGAAGCTTGCTAACAGGACTTGATGGTAAAGCAGTTTCTTCTAACCATTCCGTTTGTTGCCATACACTTTCACAGAGTTCTTGTTTGACACTTTGGCAAATCAGCTTGGAACTCTGGCCTCTGACAGTCAGGCTCTCACCTGTGAAGCTATCGTGAGAATTGCTCAGAGGGGCTGATTGAAGCAAGGACCCCCGTGCTAATGAGCTACTTGGTTTTTAGAGTCCTCCAGAGTAAGGAAGGACACTGCGGGCTGCAGGTACCCCAGCCATCCAGGATGCCTCTGGGCTCCTTGACACCGCAGCCCTGCCACGCGGTGGGTGGTCCCCCTGCCCGAGCTTGGGCTCAACATTAGCTGTGGAACGAGGTGGTTGAGAGGACCTGCCCAGCCACAGGTTCTCTGGCACCTTCTTAGAGTGAGCGCAGCTGGAACTGAACCCTTGTAATCCCATAAGCCTTTAGACTGGGCTAACAGTTCTCCCACTTGCCCTTGTCCTTCTTTTCCCTCGGAGGGAACAGAACAGTGGCTATAAGCAAGAAGATGAGTAAGGCCTGGGCTAGGCACAGAGCTAGAAAGCCGGGCCCCAGGAAGGTGAGCCTGACCCACTTCCACACGTACGAGAGGAAGAGGCTTAGTCCACTGGCCAGCAGGACGGAGGACACCGTCAGGAAGCCCACCGCCAGCTGCCACTCTCCTGTATCACTGTTGCACTGGGCGAGGAGGAGGGGCAGAGGGGCAAACATTGTGAGGACCAGGGCCCCATACACACCAAGCCTGGCCAGGGCTAGGCCGACCCGGGGAACCCCCAGCGCCTCCAGCTCAGGGAAGTTGTAACACTGTAGGGAGCCAGTGTCCTCTTCCCACAGGCAGAAGTTGTAGAAGCCGACTCTCAGGTGAGGCAGGTCAGCGAGGTTACCAGCCTTCCAGAGGAGAGCGTAGGCCATCAGGGAGAGGACCGCAGCCACGAGGATCATGATGCCCACAAAGGGCAGCCAGTTGCTCCGACATGGCCTGGGGATAGCCATTTCTTCTGCGCTTGCAGGGGGACCTGGAAAAGGCCACACCATGAGTATCTAGCCCTTCCCTCGGGCCTTCGTGTTTAGAAGCTCCTGTTCTCTCTGCCCTCCCCAGACAGGAAGTCCCACTCTCAGATCCTCAGCGGACCTCTGGTTTGATGCCAAAGGCTTTACAGCCACATAGATAGAAGCCATCTGAAGCTCTGTGAGGGGGTGTCTGATCCTCATGGAGGTGGGTTTGGATGTGTGTGGGGTGAAGGGCAAGCCTCTCTGCTAGCTGGCAGAGATCCATCTGGATCTCTGTGAGTTCAAGACCATACTGAAAACAGAGCCAGGCAGTGTTGGCACACATATTTAATCCCAGGACTTGAGATCTCATGCCTTTGCTTGGGAAGGACACACACCTTTAATCCCAGGAAGTGATGGCAGGAAGTAGAAAGGTATATAAGGCGAGAGGATCAGAAACTAGAGGCTTTTGAGCAGTTCAACTGAGACCCTCAGGGGTGAGGACTCAGAGGCTTTCAGTCTGATGATTCATGGAAACAGGAACTCACTCTCTTTGAGGATTTCTAGCAGTGAGAATGTGGCTGGCTTCTTTCTGCTTCTCTGATCTCTTAGTTTTTACCCCAATATCTGCCTCTGGGTTTTGTTTTTTTTATTAATAAGATCATTTAGCAATTTCTGTTACATGTCTGTCCACCCTCTCCCCATAACAACAGTAACCTATTAATTCTAGAAAATTCTGGAAATATGTTTTAAAGAAAAAATTAAAACAATCCTTTATCTTATCACCCCAGTAAAAACCACTGTTCATATTCCACAAATATTTTCCCTATTGTGATTGTACTTTTTTTTTTTTTTTTTTTTTTTTGGTTTTTCAAAACAGGGTGTCTCTGTGTAGTTTTGGTGCCTGTCCTGGATCTTGCTCTGTAGACCAGGCTGGCCTCGAACTCACAGAGATACACCTGGCTCTGTGTTGGGATTAAAGGCGTGCACCACCACCGCCCGGCGTGATTGTACTTTTAAAAAGCATACTGACTGTTAAACACAATGGTTGTTCATTGACTATTGTGACCATTTTTCATAGTTGCTGAAGTAGTCTTCAAAATGTGATGAATGGTTACATAATTTGATTCACAGTCTGGGTGTGGTGGTGTACACCTTTAATTTCAGCACTTGGATGCAGAGGCAGATGGATCTCTGAGTTTGAGGGCAGCCTGGTCTACTGAGTGAGTTCCAGGACAGCCAAGGCTATATAGAGAAACCTTGTCTCCAAAAAGAAAAAGCAAGCAAGCAAGCAACCAACCAACCAACCAACAACCTAAAACAGACAAACACCCCCCCCCCAAAAAAAAAAAACATCCAAACATATTCAACCCATAGAGCTGTTTGTTTCACTCTCTTGGTGATCTTAATGCATGTTGCTAGACAGACCTACAGAAAACTTGCTAATACCATTTAGGTGTATATAAAAGTGCCTATTTTGTCAGGTGGTGGTGGTGGTGGTGGTGGTGATGGTGGTGCACTCCTTTAATCCCAGCACTCAGAAAGCAGAGGCAGAGGCAGGCTGATCTCTGTGAGTTCCAGGCCAGCCTGGTCAGAGTGAGTTCTAGGACAACCAAAGAAGTCTACACAGAGAAACCCTGTCTTTTTTTTTTTTTTTTTTTAAAGTGCCTATTTTCTATTCTCATTACTTAGAAAAATATTTTCATTACTCTCTTATTCAGAAGGGACTTTAAAATTGCTTCCAAAATAGTACTCTGCACACTGTGCCTTTCTCTGTGTACAATTTCCACTCAGGAATAAAACAAATATTTGCACCAGGAGTGACTAGGAATGCAGAGCTGGGAACCTTGTGAGACACAAACACAAAGCCCAGACACCAAGTCCTGTGGGCCTCATCCAGGGAGCTAGGTGCAACCTAGCATTGGTGGCACTGGAGAAGGACCCAGAGACCCTGTGGCTCACCTTCCCAGGCGACTCCTTTGGGGACCAGCTCCTCTAACACAGTGAAGAGGAATCTCTGTACCACATTTGTTTTACAAGAACAGAAAGGAATTAAAAGAGGAAGAATACTTGCCAGCCTTAAAAGTGTATGGGGGGGGGGGGATTCCCAAAGGCTTCAAATATATGACACCATAGAGATTTATTGGTGGGTTTTAGCAGCTCCCTGGCAGTTGACATGTGCCTGTTAGAACATCGACGTGGGAATCCACACTGCCTTTCCCCAGCAACTGGCCATCTGAGTAGCCTGTCCAGTTCCTGGCTCTCATGGTGGCCTCCCCTCCAGAGGAGCCCAGCAGTGACCATCTTGGAAGCAGCCTTGGCTGCTGCTCCTCAGGCTTTTGTCAGAGGCCCTGCAGGCTGCGGCCAAGGATGCCGTTTGAATGTACTAGAAATTCTTGAAGCAGTGATGCTTGCTATAGAAAGATTTGTCAAGACCGTAAAAAGGCAGCTTTATTAGTCCACATGTCACTGGGTTGGAAGGATGAAATACTTACTCCATGTAGCCAAGGCATGGGGAAATTCCAACATATTTTAAATGGTTTTACCCATTTAGCAAAATTTTGCAAGGTCTATTTGTGTGCTTTTTGAGGGGTATTTCAGGATGTGGAGTGGATTCTGGGTGTGGAACCCCTGTTTATCCAGTGATGCCATAGGAAATAAGGCTTGCCCAGCCTGCAGTATCCAGAACAACCAGGATGGGAACTGGGAGGCTCCTGTTTGAATTGTGCGTATTTAGGTTCAAATACTACCCTTGAAACTCTGTCAGACCTCAAACTTGGCTTCTCAGAGGAGGCTATGGTTACCCCAGCACAGTGCCTGCCAGGTACCAGGAGCCTTTGTTTATGGCTTCATTTTTTCTCAACTGCCCTTTTGGAGGTTTTGGTAGGTTACTGTTTTGTTTTGCCCCGTTCTGAAATGAGTCTCTCTATGTAGCCCAAGTTGGCCTCAAACCCTATGATCCGCCTGCCCCAGCTTCTGGAACGCCGTGATTATGGGAATGTACCACCACACCCGACATTCCAAAGGCCTGTAATGGAGAGCGGAGCAAGAGAAGACTGGAGGGAAGGAGCACAGGCCAGGCATGTGGAGAAGGCCTGTCCTGACTTGTGTCTGCTCTGCCCTCAAAGGCAGAGGTCAGTCCTAGCTCCTGTGCCTGCACTTGAGGCTCTCTGCTATCCGGTGTGTCTTAGAACGTGCATTTTACGGGGGCTCAGGTCCCTTTGTCCTCTGCACTTAATTTTTGTAGTCAAGCTTCTCTGCTTAGGCTGTGCCTATTTCCTCCAGCCCACACTCAGCCAGTTTCCAACCTCTTTGGACGGGCCAGAAGTTGGGATGTATACTAGAATCGGTGTTCCTAAGGAAAAGTCATCATCGCTTTTTATCTTGCTAGGCTGGTAGGAAATTTTTTTGAATGAATGAAAATGCCCTCTGGTATCCTTAGGTGTACATCATGTGTTATGGGCACATCTCAGCAAGATGGCAGAGCATCCTCAGGGGCCCTGTGTATGGCTTTCGTTTTACCAGCAGGGTTGGGATGTCCATTCGGCTTCCTCCTGGAAATACAGACTTCAGAGGCTGGTAACGAGGCTTCACTCTTCACCTCCCTCGCTGAGTACCCGTGTGTTTGGTTGGAAACCCAATGACACTCTGCCAGCTGCCCCAGCAACCTACCCTGTGCTGTTTCTCTAACAACCATGGTGATCACATTCTCACCACAAAAGGACCCTAATGCCCTGTAATAAGCCTGTGTGTCCTTCAAAGGGCAAGAGGCCCTAGAGCCGTGGTTCTCAACCCTCCCAATGCTGTGACCCTTTAATACAATTCCTTGTGTGGTGGTGACCCCCAACCTGAAAATTCTTTGCATTGATACTTCATAACTGTAATTTTACTACTGTTATGAATTATAATGCAAATATCTGTGTTTTTTGATGGTCTTAGGTGACTTCCATGAAAAGGTCATTCGCCCCCAGAGGGCCGTGACCCACAGGTTGAGAACCACTGCTCTAGAGACTGCTGAGTCATGGTGGCCATTTTTAGGTAAACTTCTTCCTGTTTATAATAAAGTAATGCACGTTGGTTGCAGAAAACTATCAAAACATGTCAAAGTGTGGAGAAAGATTAAAAATCATCTACAACTTCTGGTAAAGGGACCAGCGAGCACATCTCCTCTCCCGCTCTGCAGCTGGGAACACAGAGATCGGGGTGTGCATTTCATGTATCATTATGACACACGGGTTTCTTTATGTCCTACCATTGTTTCCTGTTATCTTTAAGGGCTTCCTGGAGCTCTCATAGCTTATAGTCTTTATAAATTATTTTTATAATTTATCTCATAATCATATGAATAATACTATGTGATGTGTTTGTAAATAAATTTATCCTTCCAGCAGCTTAAAAATTTACACTTTATGTTCATGTGTGTGTGTGTGTGTGTGTGTGTGTAGCACATGCAGGGAGGTTAGAGGACAGCTTGCAGGAGTCAGCTCTCTCCCTCCACCATGTGGGTTTGGAGAATGGAACTCAGGTTGCCAGCCTTGGCAATTATCTCTTTACTCACTGAGCCATGTCAAGGCTCCAGCTTGACTTTTGAACTCCACTGTATTTTAGAAATGAGGTCACTCCACTGCCCAGGCTAGTCTTGGGCTCCTGGGCAACAGTAAGCCTCCTGAGTAACTGGGGCTATAGGCATGAGCTGCTTGCTGGCGAGTGCTGATCTTACCCCATCTTCTCAAATGTTGCATATTCTTGAACCATCTAATCTTAGACATTGATGAGTCACTGTTGCTCAATGCTTCCTTCAGAGACAGGAAAGTTCAGCATTTTCAAGTGTTTACTGACTATCCGTATCGCTTCTGTGGATTTCTTTGGCTTTTTAAACACAACTTTTGAACATGGACAAGGTCTTGGGTTTGATCCCTATACTGCCCCAAAGAAACTATTCTGAGTTCTAGTTTTCCATGCAAAGGCTGTCAGACTGTTTGTTGCTGGGCCACAAATCTTCCTGCTGCCCCAGGCCCCCAGCACT